AAGCAACTGCCTTCGGCTCGGGTCATGATCCTGGAGTCCTGGGATCGAGTCCCGCATCGGGCTCCCTGCTTGGCGGGGAGTCTGCTTCTCCCTCTGACCCTCTTCCCTGTCGTGCTCTCTGTCTCTCATTCTCTCTCTCTCAAATAAATAAATAAAATCTTAAAAAAAAAAAAATCTTGGACTTATGAATCATAGTTCCCTTGAGAAGCCTAAATGATATGGAACTGGTACCTTTGTTTTGGTCTTGGCTTTACCAAAAGCAGGTCTGTGATTATGAACTTGCCACTTCTCAGGATCTTGGTTTCTACATTTGTAAAATGAGAAGGCTGAAGTAGATTCGTGATTAGGGAAATCCCAGTGATGATTCTTTTATCTGCCTTTTTTTCCCTGAGTCCTGTATATCCAGTTGCTTCCAGGCCTTTGTTTATTTGAGGGTCCCACTCATACTTGAGATTTGTTACCAGAGTCACCCTCTCAGATTCAGGCTTCTATGGTTTGTTGCAGCCCCACCGTCAGAACCAAAGGACTAAAACGTGAGTTACTGGAAAGCATTCCCAGGTGGGGTGGTTGCTGAAGAGGGAAAAGGAGAAACCACTGAACATTTTACTACAGATTGTGCTACCTCCAGGGACACGAGGCACACATTTCCTTGCAAAGGTTGTAATTCTCTCTTCCACCCCCAAGTCCACCATTTGCAGTTTGGGTTATAGCAGTGCCACTTCTACACCTATCCTCAGGTCCTGCTCTAGCATATTCCTCACCCCTCCTTCCATTGCTAAGGAAAGCCTTCCTAATATCCATCCTCAACCTCATTTCCTCAGGGAATGCTGATTAGCCCCACTTACTGTCCATCACCAATCACATTTAAGCCCCCCCCCTTTGTTAAGTGTTATTCTTTAAAATAAGTTCAGATGCAAAATAGGAAAATGCCAATTTATAATAGTATATACAGTAGTGTCTTCCATTGTTTGAAACAGGGTGACTTTCCACATATCGATCTGTTTAGTCTCCGAGATGAAAGATCCGAAATTACCCTTCACCTATAAAGTCAACCAAACTTGTTTTCTGTACACATTGTGATTAACTTGACTTATTGAAGCCGATCCTAGCTTAGAAATTGGCATGTATGCTCTTGCAAAATGGTTCTTATAAGGACTGTAAAAATGTGGTCCTTGAAAGCTGTTTGAGAAAATGTATTGCTCTTGCTGTGATATTAGCAATGGTATTTTTTAAATGTTATGTCCCCTCTACATAAGTTTAAGTATAAATTGGATATTTTTTAAAACCTTTCTCTACTTCTTTGATGTATTCAAATTTGAAATAGATCTTGGAACACCTGTATGTTTGCTGGACTAGTGGTTGTTGGGTTTGTTGGTTTACCACTAGAACCATCTCCACAATCTATCCCTCTGATAAGGACCATGGCTCCTGTCAATAGGAGATAAAACAAATACTTTGCATCAGTCCCCCACCCCACCCCCAGTACTGTCAGTTCCCCAGCCCCCACTGCTCTCACTTCTGCAGAAGCAAAGATGATGTAATTACAACACCTTTTCCTCTAATACATAAATTGAAACCACCCTTTACTGATTCCCTTTGGGATGTTTGTTTTAACTTTTGTTTTACTGGTGGAGACCACACCGATTTGCCTGCTACCCTAGGATTACTTGATTGCAGTCTTCTAAGAAGCAAAGAACCGGGTCTAATTTAATGTTTAGCAAAATAGTGGTTGTGGTAGAAATTTGTAAGTTTGGGGAATGCAGTAGAATAGGATTGAATGACGTTAAGGAATCCTTTAATGCATGCTTTTGAATAAATCTTTAGCAGTGAATGGTCTCTTGTAGATCTCAGAGCCGCTAGAAAGAGAACTGGGGTGTTTGTTTTGAACCTTGCAAATCGTAATAACTCTTTACCTTTCTACTCATACCCCCACCCCCACCACGCTTCTGCTTGCTTACAGTTGTCAACGATACCCACCCCAGAGTAGTAAGTTTGTTAGTGATTTTTACATAAGGTGCAAATCAAGGAGTGTCTTCGTCCCCGCTGTGCGCAGATGGGACTAGCTTGGGGAAGACGCCGCTGAGCAGTTTCTCAGGGTGACTCATTATCAACACTGACCGTTGCTTTTAAATCCACCAGGGAAAATGTACCAGACATTGTTATGATGAAAACAACCGGGAGGGGTGGTGGTGAGAAGAACCGAGATAAAATTTGGCCAAGGCTACGTGTCGCCCTGAAGCCACGGCAGCGGGGCGGGCGGGGCGGCCAAGGCACCTGCGAGGAGCGCGGGCAGGCGGGCGTGGCCTGCGGGCG